TCATTGGTTTTTAATAATGTATCGAAACTGGCTCTTAACAACCTTATTTTTCTTATTTTTATGAAAATTTAAATATTTTTCATCAATATTATCATGATTTTAGTATGTTTTAAAACGATTAGCATGTGCTTTCGGATATCAGACAAATTTGTTTACTAAGGTTTCTAAGGTTTTTAGATTTTGATGTGAAACAGCTGAATACTTTCGTCTGTTTGTTTGAATAATTATTATTTCTGTGAATATATCTGGAACACTGCACATAATTTTAGCACTATGTAGTCAAATATTAATTTATAATGACAAAAACCTCTTATGCACTCTAGAACTAATTACTGCCACTCGCTATTGTATATACGAACGTAACATTCAAAATACCATTGAAATTTTGCTGATATATACTAATTTAAAATTAATTTTAAAAAATAAATGTACGAAAAGTATACCTGAAACATAACCTTTAACGTCAAATTATAATGTGTGAATTATTAAGTGAACATTTATTTTCTTTATTTTTAGGTTGGATAATTGTCATTCAGCTAGTCTCAATAAACATTAGCACAAGCTTTATTAAAGAACTTAAATATGTCAATTAGTGAAACATGAATAATATAATAATATTAATATAGTTCTGAAGCTATTTTCTTGTGGCATTTTAAATTAATCACTATTTAAATGGGAATAAGCCACAATTAAAGGTTCAAGAACATTTATTGACGTTTCAATTTATACGATTTCCGAAGTGGAAATTAAAACGTCAATAAACGTACTTTAACCTTAAATTGTGGCTTATTCCCATTTAAATAGTAATTAATATTAATATAAGTGAACAACAGAAATAACAACATTAAGGCGGTATCAAGGGGAAGAGGACTTAAGGATATAGGTGAGCAACTGGATAAACAAGTTGCTATTTTAAGAACTTTTTTTCATCCAGTCTGAGACATCTACTTTACATCAAGTAATTTGCGCAGTAGATGATACAACGCTGCTTTGACTGAGGAAACAAGAAATGCGCATAAACTACCTAACTAAGCAAGAAAAAATGTGCATAGGGATAAGTAAACCTCTGCATGGGCGACATCTCAATAAAATCGACCAAAAATATGTCGACACTACAGCGTCGAAAGATGTTTTCCAAGACTAAGGATGTCCTACTTGCCATTTAGGATCAGGTTAATTCAACTAAAAATTACCTAAAATATATTGTTAAAGATCCTCAAGATTAAAATAACAAATACCGATATGGATGCCAGGCAAAAGAAATCATCTAACATCTTACCGGTGACTGCCAGGCATTCGTCGGTACTGATCATAAAAAACGCCATGCCTCAGTAGGAAAGATTGTCCACCAAGAACCAGCTGACATACTGGGACTTCTCCAAACCGACCATCTTCCTTATTATCAATACGTCCCTGACAAGATGCTTGAAAATGACAACCACAAGCTATACTTGAACCACACTGTGCTCACAGTCAAACCTTCTTCTTCTTAGAGTGCCGTGTCCCTACCGAGGTTGGCAATCATAATGACTAATTTTATTTTAGAACTTGCTGTTCTAAACAAATCAATCGATTTGCATTGATACCAATCACGTAGATTCTTTAACCATGAGTTTTGCCTTTGGTCAACAGATCTTCTTCCTTAAATCTTTCCCTGTATTATAAGTCTCAAAATTTCATATTTTGGTCCCCTCATCACGTGGCTCAGGTATTCCAGTTTTTTTGTTTGTATAGTGGTGATTAGTTCTGTTTCTTTACGAACCGCTCCAGTACTTCTTTATTTGTAATTCTATCAGTATATGATATTTTCAATTGTCTGCGGTATAACCAGAGTTCGAAGGCCTCGATTCTCTTTAAATTACATTTTTTTTAAGTCCAAGTCTCAGCTCCATATAATAATATTGAAAATATATAACACCGAATGGTACGTAGTCTGATCTCCAAATTTAGATTTTTGCACGTTAGGAGTGGCTTCATTCGTATAAATGCTGATCTGGCAATCTCTGACAGTCCAATCAATGGCACATAATGACCGGATGTCATACTAGTTAATTAAATTACTGGGGAAATAACCCTTATTGATGTGAAGATACCTAACACCAATAATTTACGTGTTAAATACAACGAAAAGATCTCCAAGTACAGGGATCAAGAAATACAAATCAGGAGACAATGGAGAATGGAAGGTATACAGACAGTACCTAATGTTCTATCTACTACTGATGTTATTCCCAAGACTCTCCCAGAGAACATAAGTGCTAGGTCTAAACGAACATCTCTATAAGGCCATGTAAAAATCCCCTTTTTAATTACGCTGTTTTTATCAGGTTTTATTAGGGGATCGATATATATTTTTATTATGAAGAAGGCCAATTTTTGGGATAAATTATAAATCTATCAAAGTGTTCTAGGATACTAGGATACAGAGGATACCTTGGATTTTCCAAATATCGGTAAGTTTAATTACGATTTAAGGTGAGAGTTGGACAACAATACTCGGAGACATTTGAAATAAACAATAGACTAAAACAGGGAGATGCACTTTCACCACAACTCTTCAACTTAGCTTTGGAGCACATAATCAGAAGTGCAAGAATCGAAAAACCGAATACAATATTTCATCGAGAAGGACCAAACTTACTACTGGTATTTGCAGACGATATAGATCTAATAGGAAACACGCGATTAAGGATGAAGGAGACTTTCGTAAGGTTTGAGAAGAAACCAGAGAAGATGGGGCTCCAAATCAACGAAAACAAGACGAAATATATTTATATGAGCCGCAATAACCAAAGCAGAGACAGAATCGGTCAGAACATTACCATCGATGACTTTAACTTTGAGCGCGTTAGAGAATTCAAGTATCTTGGAACAACAATAACTGAAGACAATAACGGATCACAAAAAATAAACAACAGGATTCAGGTTGGCAACAGATGTATTTTTGCCCTTCAAAACGTTATAAAATCAAAACAACTAACACGACGTACGAAGATAAAGGTCTATAAAACAATCACACGACCCGTTGTGATGTATGGAAGCGAAACGTGGACGATAACAAAGGCAAATGAAGAGAGACTACGTGTTTGGGAAAAAAAATCCTAAGGAAGATCTTTGGTCCGGTGCTTGATGAAGCATCAGGACAATATAGGATAAGAACTAATAAAGAGCTTGAAGAACTTTACCCAGACGCCAACATCATAAAATAGATAAAGTCCAGAAGACTCCAATGGGCAGGACACCTCAAAAGATATTCTGACGAACGAACAGTAAGACTGGTGTGGGAGGAAGTCCCAACTGGAAGGAGATCACGCGGACGTCCTCGTCTCCGGTGGCGAGATAATATAGCAGGAGACCTAAGCACTATGGGCGTTGAGAATTGGATGGAGGTTGCTCAAGACAGAAAACAGTGGAGGCATGTTGGTTAGTCGGCTAAAACCCACGAAGAGTTGTAACGCCACGGAGTAAGTAAGTAAGTAAGGTAAGTTTAATCCAAAATTAATTATCTATGTCTTTAAACAAAAAGATGATTTAATTAATGAACTTAAAGATGAAATAAAAATTCTAAATTGTCAAATATACTTCTTCTAATATATAAAATTTTCCTGTCACAATGTTAGTTACCGTACTCCTCCGAAACGGCTCTACCGATTTTTACTAAATTTTATATGCGTATTCAATAGGTCTGAAAATCATAAGAGAGGTGGTAAGGGTTGATCATCCTTAATTTTTTTTTTAATTTTTTGACGAAATTTTTTATTTTGTTTTTTTTATAATGTTGCATTAAAAAATACATACAACCCTAAACTTTTACTTTTTTATTATAAACCCCTATTTTTTATGGCTATTTTAGTAATTTAATCATTTTTTTCATCTCGCTCGATAACTGATCAATTATTGTGTTTTTAACTGTACTTCGATTAAAAGGCAAAAATGTTTTTTAAAAAAATAAACATTTAATTTTATTACTAAAGTTTAACCTTGATATATACTTAGTGTTACTAATCTTAGATTCTTCAAATTTGCCGCACCTTTACTGGTGAGTGAAATGCCACACTATACCATAAACTGAAGCCGGTCTCCTGTTTCACTCACACAAGACTTCTCTCACTCCCTACACAGTTTTCGGCCATCATGATTATTGTTTTTGCATCAAGTGTAGTAGTAACGTTCACAATTATCAATTTTCTATTTCTGTGTAACTCTCATAATATACTTCATTCGCTTAGCTCGGACATATTTTGACAGATTCATTGTCGGAAACCTACAACACAACAATTCCTACTTTTCAGTATTAATAGCTTAAATATACTACTATTGCAGACTTCTTTCTTTAAAAAAAAAAAGAAGAATTATTCTAAATAGTGGAAGTGTATACTAAACCCATTAAATTTTGGATAGTATATATTTAAAAATATATTTTAGTTGTGATAATTTAACATAACTATTTATTATATGGTGCAGATAAACAAATCTTGATTGTCGGTAATTCGCAAAGTACTATTTTATTTACTATTTAGTTTGTTTACTATCAATATTGGCTATGAGTACGTGTGCTTGGTTGTATAGTAATTTCCAGCAACTTTTAGTCTGTCAAAAATAACGTCGCAAAAAATAATTACTAAATTCACTAGACAATTCGGACTGGGAATAGCGAACCGAGTATTATAACTATTAATTATTACTATTTTATTCATAATAATAAAATTATTAATTTTAAGTGTATTTGGCACGATTAGATCAGTTAATGAAGTTTTATTTAAACAAGTGATTTACATAACCTTAAAAGTACTCAACACGTGTCACGAGCTCCAACCAACAACGGCTTTTGTGTTGTAAGTATACTTTTTTTATATAATTATTTGAATTTTTTACAACTATTGTTTCTAATTTTTGTTTCATAAAACTAATATTTTCGCTAGAATCCTGGCCGTAATTATAGTTATAACGTTTTCCATCATTAAGTAATTTCATTAATTCTATTTATATGCGTTTTGTAGAGAGAGCAATGCCAAGAAAACGCAAAGGGGCTGATTTGAGCCGTAATACAAGTAGGTCCAGAAGTATGCGAGATACAAGATCCCAAAGAACCGAAGAACAAGTCCGGCAACAAAATGCTGATGCACGTGTGAGTCTTCAGCAATTGCGTCAAGAACAATCAGAGGATAAACGAGCTGAGCGCAATGAAGTTATACGTGTAGAGCAACAAAAATCACGCCGTTTTACGGTTAATAGACGCAGAACAAATGACCAACAACCCCAACAGGTACATTGTGCATTTACATCTGATTTATTTTTGCGTCTAGCATTCCAGTACGAGCCCGGTATTAAATATTATGCTCATTCAAAAGTGGTAATTGGTGCTATGGATAAGGAATGTCTGCACTGTCATGCTCTCAAATTCAAAAATGAGCCACCTGGGATGTCTTGCGCTTCAGGAAAAGTGCAACTACCTGAAATTGAAACACCACCTGAACCATTGAATGGTTTACTTATCGGCACGGATCCAGATTCTAACGTATTCCTGAAGTCAATTCGAACATTCAATTCCTGCTTTCAAATGACATCGTTTGGAGCAACAGAAATAGTTCGAAATACTAATGCTAATGGTCTCACAATACAATTATACATTCAAAATCAGAGGCCAAGTTTATTATAAAATGGGCTCATTGCTGCCAATGCCAAACGAACCACATAAATTTTTACAAATCTACTTTACGGGCGGCGAGGATTCCGGAAGCGCACTTGCTAATCGCGCGAATGCACGTTGTGACTATAATAACCTTGATTCATTTTTTGCCAGGCGCATCGTCAGCGACTGGGACGCTCTATTGAACGAGCACAATGAATTGTTAAAAATATTCAAATCATATATGCACAAATTAAAAAGCAATAATCACGCTATTGTCATTAACCCTAATAACACCAACTGGAGAGCATATTCGTAGATTCAATGCACCTGTTGTTGAAGACGTTGCTGGAATCATGGTTGGCGATCGTACAGGTACACGAGAAATTGTGATTTGTAGAAGAAATAATAATCTTCAGTTCATTGCTGATACACATCGTTTATATGATGCTCTCCAATATGCGCTAATATTCTGGAAGGGGCAAGACGGATATTGCATAAACATAAAACAACGAGATCCCGTATTAGGTACTTCATTTATTATTAACCATTTAAAAAAAAAACAATTAAATTATTGAACGGAATTAATTTAAATGAATAATCATAAATATATTATTACAGGAGCTGAAACAAACAAGAACGTTAGCTCGAAAGATTATTATGTGTACCGATTAATGATTCGGCGCGGCCTGGACAACGTCATTCTACGATGTCGTGAGCTTTGTCGATAATTCATTGTCGACATGTACGCAAAGATAGAGGGCGAACGACTACAATACTTATGATATAATCAACTCAAGCTGCGTGCGGAAGAGTACATACACTTACGAGACGCTATTAACAACAACGCCGACGTTGCCGAAATTGGTAACTCTGTCATTTTACCATCATCGAATATAGGCAGTCCACGTCATATGTAAGAATATATACAGGATGCTATGGCTTACGTGCGCGAATATGGACGACCGTGTTTATTTATCACGTTCACATGTAATCCAAAATGGCCAGAGATCACATCTTTGCTATTGCCTGGCCAAAATGCAATACATCGTCATGACATCACAGCACATGTATTTAGACAAAAGTTGAAGTCTCTTATAAGTTACATTACTAAATAACATGTATTCGGTCCCACACGTTGCTGGCTGTATTGAGTTGAATGGCAAAAGAGGGGATTACCTCATTTTGGTTTGTTTAATCAACAAAATCTGTCCTGAAGAAATCGATAGTATCATTTCTGCGGAAATTCCAGATCCTTCTACTGACCAAGTGCTGTTTGATATTGTTACAGCAAACATGATCCATGGTCCATGTGGTACTCTTCATCGTTCATCGCCTTACATGGCAGATGAAAAATGTACTAAAAATTTCCCTAAAGGTTTCACTAATGATACGATAACAAATACCGACGGATATCCAATATACCGTCGAAGAAGTATCGATAATGGCGGATACTAATTTATTAAAAATATCAGCAACACAGACATTGATATTGACAATCGTTGGGTGGTGCCGTATTCACCTCTGCTAAGCAAGACATACAATGCTTATATTATTGTTGAGTTTCGCAGTTCTGTGAGGAGCATAAAATATATTGGCAAGTATGTCCATAAAGGCAGTGATATGGCTGTGTTTAGAATAGAAAATACTAATGTAAATGCTCCCCCAATGAATAAAAGCGATAAAATTACGCTTTACCAAATTGGACGGTACATCAGCTCCAATGAAGTTGCTTGGCGTATCTTCGGTTTTCCAATTCATGAACGGGATCCAGTAGTTGTTCATTTAGCCGTCCATCTTGAAAACGGTCAGCGTGTATTTTTCACAAACGAGACAGTTATTGATCGTGCTACAAATTCACCTAAAACTACACTCACAGCATTTTTTGAAATATGTGATAGTATGGATCGTTTTGGTGCCTTTGTAAGAACATTACTCTATTTACAAGTACCACAATATTTCACATGGGCTCAAACAAAAAAAAAATGGATGCCCGGCAAGCAAGGCTCACCAGTTGATGCATGTCTCAATTTATTTAAATCGAACGCTTTGGGGCGATTATTTACAGTTAATCCAAGACACATTAAGTGCTTTTATCTTTGACTGTTGTTGGTTAAAGTTACTGGCCCATTATCATTTCAAGATATACGTAAAGTGAATGGGCAACAGTATTCAACATATAAAGACGCATGCCTTGCAATCAGCTTGCTGGAAGACGACAACCAGTGGGAGTGTATGCTTGCTGAAGCTGTATTGAACTGTACAGCAATACAAATTTGTCTACTATTCGCTATAGTGTTGACTACATGTTTCTTAGCTCGAGCACAGATATTGTGGTTTAATTACAAAGATTCAATGACTGATGATATATTGCATTGATAACATTATATAATATTGATAACAATATTGATAACATTCAACGACGCAATTCGGTATGAATTCGCCAAATCGAACTGCATCTGAATTAATTAACACTGAAATGAATCGTGAACTGCAGTACAACACTGTAGAAATGGCAGCGATTGTTACTCGCAATATCCCACTAATGAATGACGAACAAAGAACAATTTATGACCGCATTTTGCTCGCAGATTCAGCAGAACAAGGTGGCTTCTTCTTTTTGGATGCACCGGGTGGAACTGGCAAAACATTATTTATTTCACTAATTCTTGCTGAAATACGATCAAATAATGGCATCGCATTAGCCGTTGCATCATCGGCATTGCCGCAACTTTTTTGGATGGAGGTAGAACAGCTCATTCAGTATTTATGCTGCCACTAAATATTCGAAATAACCCTGACGCAGATTGTAACATTAAAAAACAATCGTCCATGGCTACCGTGCTAAAACAGTGCAAAATTATCATCTAATATGAATGTACCATGGCACACAAACATTCAATTTGGGCGTTAAACAGGACATTGAAAGATATTATAAACAATGACAAACTATTTGGCGGCACTCTTTTGGTGCTTTGAGGTGATTTCAGACAGACACTTCCCGTCATTCCACGTTCAACATACGCTGATGAGATCAACGCTTGCTTAAAATCATCTTCATTGTGGCCTAATGTTGAAAAAGTACAGCTGAAAGTAAATATGCGCGTTCAAATGCTTTAAGATTCATCCGCTGAAACATTCTCAAAACAACTCTTAGATATCGGTGATTAAAAAGTTGCTACAGATGAAACTGGATACTTAAAATTACCGACCGATTTCTGCACAATCGCTGATTCGCAAGATACTCTCATTGAACAAATATTTCCTGATGTACACACACTGTACATAAATCATAAGTGGCTTGCAGAAAGAACAAGCCAGAATTTGCAATTTTCCCCCAGAATTTTTGAACTCACTGGATTTGCCAGGCGTGCCACCGCATAATTTACAATTGAAAGCTGGATCTCCAATTATCTTGCTTCGTAATTTAAACCCGCCACGGCTGTGCAACGGTACGCGATTAGTTATTCTAAAATAGATGAAAAACGTTATCGAAGCCAGCATTATAAATGGCAAGTTCAAAGGTGAAAATACCACGAATTTCTATTATACCTACAGATGTGCCAATTCAATTCAAACGAATTCAGTTTTCGATTAGATTGACATTTGAAATGACAATCAACAAATCCCAAGGCCAAACGATGTCTATTTGTGGCTTAGATTTGACTACACCATGTTTTTCACGCGGGCAATTGCACGTAGCATGCTCTCGAGTGGGTAAACCATCTAGTTTGTTTGTGCTCGCTAAAGATGGGCTAACAAAAAATATTGTTTACGCTATAGCATTAAGAGATTGATTTTGTTTGTTAGGGTTACTATTGTAATTAATATGTGATATGTAATTTTAAGTAATAAACTATAATAACTTGAAAATAATATTGTTTGGCGTTTGTTATTTTTATATTCCCTTATCGTTCATAACGCTCCTCGCCCATTTCACGCATATACCACATACTTACACACTTATATTAAGTAAGGAACTTTTTGTTTACACTAGAATTTATCTAGAAACTAGAATTATTTATCAGGCAAAACAGCGTTTGCCGAGCCAGCTAGTATTTAATAAATTAAATATAGTTAACCACATTAATTCTAATACAGCTAATATATCTAACATAAAAGCGGCGCGGTCGAAACCAAACCAAAACGATAAAATTTCTACAAATGTTATATTAACAAATGTAGCACCTAATACTAGCAAACATGATGGTAATTCCCTTTGTAAACAAAAACAAAAACACAACACAATAACGCACAATTAGCTATCTAGAGAAATTTTAAACATATAAACGCAGTAAAAATCTCAAGAAATCATCAAGTACCATTAACAGAATCTAAAGAAGAATTAACTGAAGTAAAAAGGAATAAACAAAGAAGGGAGATAATAAACAGACACCAAATTAATGGTAGTAGCACCGAGAGAGCTACTGCTAGCATAAAGGGTTTTCCTAAATTCACCGACTTTCATGTCTAAAGTTCTATCCAGTTCTATCCAGTTACCGATGGAGCCACGCTAGAAAATTAATTCACATTACATTTTCCAGAGGTTTTATGTAAATATGTAACATTCAAGTATCCAAAGCTATATGCACCTTTCAAGATAAGAATAAATCAAGCAAATTTTAAGAAGACCATGGACCAATCGATCTGGCCTAAACACACATGTGTTAATAGCTTTTACCTGCAAATTTTACCTGTAAACATTTAGAAACCCCAACTCTAGAGTTAATTTTTAACCAAGACCCTTAAGTTAGCGGAGATAAATGAGCGGAATCCAATTTAACCTACGTAATATTTTTCACCAATTTTTCACTAACTGATTACCACCCTAATAATTTTTCACCACCAAACCACTCTTAATGAGAGCGAAGGTTCAAGCTAGCAGAATTCATAAACAAAACTTTTTGCCGATGAGATATTTTTTCATTCATTTTTCACTTATGTATTACCACCATAAACATTTTTACCACCAAACCACACTTAAGCGGAGCAATTCTGCTGGCTTACGGTAAAAACTAGCAGAATTTAAA